TTTTCAAAATGTCCCTCCAGTATTTACGTTCCCCATCAAGTTGCTGCATGAGATCTGCATCTATAGCACTGCCCTTTGTCCGCTGGTGCAAAGCAAGCATGCATGATCTGTGTTCTGCACTGTTTTCGTGTTCCCCTATTCTTTCAGAGTGCTTCCAGTCACTAAACCCCTGACTAAAGCCACCGAACTTGCTGGAGAACAGTTTGCATGCAAAACAGTACACACAACTTGTTGAGGGTGAGTACAGTAGCCACTGTCTAGAAACCTGCCCATTTGGCAATATACAGTTCAGGAGATTATTGCTGAAACTTCTAGTCTCTCCACCAAGCGCTCTATCTCAGACTGAAGCTGGGTATTTTTCACGGCAATTTTGGAAGGGGACTTCTCTTTCAATAAGCACTGACTTAACAATGTCACTGGAAGTGCCTTGCCATAATGCAGGGTCAGTGACCTTATAGCACCAGGAATGGCTTGGTTGCTGATTTGATTCTTGTGAACTGCCCAACTGCTCCTGAGGTGTAAATGATGGTTCTTGTATACCATTAGCTGTTGAGGGTTCACCTCCAAGGGATGGCTCTGGGGGAGTGACAACATTACTGGAAACTCAACTAGTGCGAGTTCCTTCCTCACAGCTGACAATAGTGCTGCTGCTGTCATCATTACTATCAGAGGGTTTTTGAAAGAAGTTGGCAATGAGTGGAACACTTTGAAGCAAAACTGCCTCTCTTGCCTCCTTTTCTTTTTTGGCTTTCCTTTTGGAAGCACCGCTATTCCAACGTTTGTGGTCCTTATTTCAGAACTAGTATGCCATTTATATGAATATATTTATAGCATATCTCAATTCTTATTAAATAATAATTGAATTAATATTTATTAATAACGACAACACCCTTCAAATACTGTTCTTGGAAAATACAATCAAGTGGTAGTATTTTATAGCCTACTTTTACCTAAAGACAGCTTTGAGTAGATAAAATAAAGACATAGAAAAGCACATGAAAAAAAATAACCCTAACCCGTTAAAAAGGCTTGTTAGAAAATAGCCCTTAGGAGGGATTGTTGAAGTAGCCTTTAAATAGGCTGTTGCTTTATAAAAAGATGAAAACAAGTCTGTGAATATATAACTGTGGTGTACCAAGCAAGAAAACAGGAATCTGTCTGTGGCTTTTGCTCCCAAGAAATGTCTTATATACCTGCCTGACACAAAGATAATTATGTTGCTTGAAATTCAAAAGATAACTTTTTTTCATTGGATGAACAACCAACAAAGGTTTCTGATAAGTTAGTTAAATAATTTGGTGGAGACTATGCACATAGGCCACGTCCAGAAGACAGAGCTTGAATGAACGCTGTCAAGCAAGGACCGCGTCTTTTAAGCTGTGTGGGCGGAGTTAACATATGAATTAGCATGTTACCAGCCCCACCTCTGGAGCGGAGGAGGGAGGGGGCTGGGAACAGACAAAAAAAGGAAAAAAGAAAAACAAGAGAAACAGCCAAGGTGCGCTGCTGTGTCCTGAGTTGCATTATGACTATGCTATAAACTGGACAACTATATAATACATGATTATACCTTCCAATCTAAACTACATGGTATAACATATCCATAGACAAATTCCACCTTTGAATTATACAATGCGTTACTTTACACTACCCTATACTTTAGACTATAAAATATTAGACTTGTAACATTACCCTGTCTTATTCTATGAACCCAACTATATACCACACTACTGTATATTCACTATGCAATTATGATGCTATATATTGCCTTATGAGTTATGTTAAACATTACAATGTTATACTATTGTTATACTACGTGTTATAAACCATATCATTAACCGTGGTGTGAGAGGTATTAAGAGGCCATGCCAGCGAAAGGGCTGCGGTCTGAAGGTCACCATAAAATACAATCAATTAAGAACCGAAATGGTTTATAACATCTTTCCAATGGTTACTAAGCCAGAATCCATCTTCTTGGTTGAAATTGTCTCTGTGCTTGTATATGTGGATGGCCTCATGAACGATGGCTTGCAAAGAACCTCCGTCTTGGAGAAGTCAATGTAATGTGAGCCCACTGAATTATAACAGTGATCTGCCACGGCTGAGGAGTTATTCCTACTGTGTTTAAGTCTGGTTTCTCCAATGTAGCTGCTACCACAGAGGCACAGTAGTTTGTAAACGCCCGGGTACTGTATGTCTGGAACCACATCTTTTACAGATGGAACCAGATCACGGATTGTATGTACTGTGTTGAATCGGACCTGGATCTTGTGTTTATTCAGGATTTTGGAGATCTTTTTTGTGACCCCCGCAATGTAGGGGAAGGTGATGGTTTTGAATGGCTCCTCAGAGGATCCTTCTTCATGACTGGAGTGATGGCTTTGCGGATTGTGTAGTCGGAGTAACCATTAGCCTTCAGAGCTTGGTGTATGTGTTTGAGTTCACTGGCAATGTGATCCTCGTCGGAAATGCATTGGGCTCTATGGTATAGAGTCTTTATGAGGGAGTTTTTCTGAAATGGATGGTGGTGGGAATCCGGTGTTAAGTAAGCATCCGTATGGGTAGCTTTCCTGTAGACAGAGTGGCTCATTGAACCATCAGGTCTCCTTTTAATTAAGATATCCTAAAAGGGTAGCATGCCTTCTTTTTCGACCACCATGGTAAATCTGATGGCTGGGTGTATGGAATTGATGTGGTCGAGGAATTGGTCTAGAGCAGGTCGGCCATGTGGCCAGATGACAAAGGTGTCATCCACATACCTCTTCCATAAGGTCGGGCGTAGAGTGGCAGTCTGGATATATTGTGACATGATACAATATTCGATTTGGTGCTTTCGTGACTGCAGGACTTAATCTTTGTTTTTTTCGGTAAAGTCACGTAGAAATAATAAAAAATAAAATTACAAAATATATGACGTTTCGATTGCAACACAATCAATCATCATCAAGTAGAGGAAACACATAACCGCAGATATATATACAAACCTTAAATAGAGGGAATTAACACAGATATACCAGGGGATACAGAGAGACGGAGCATCACACTAAATCAAACAGGGTTTAGCAAAATTTAGAAACTATGTAAAGCAACACAGACGGTCGGTTAAAACACAATTAACGCATGGTCTGGTTGAATACGCTATTTCAAAGATTGTTAAATTGTAAGTTGAGTGTGAAATTTAAGATAGTGATAGAATACATACCGTAGAGAGACCTATGAGGGGAGACACACACACAGTTAAGAGGCAAAGCAGCTTTGTACCAAGGCCTTAAATAGCCAGAGATGGAGGGACTTATTTCTACGTGACTTTACCGAAAAAACCAAAGATTAATTCCTGTAGTCACGAAAGCACCAAATCGAATATTGTATCATGTCACAATATATTGTAGCATGCCAACCAGTGGCTCAGTTGTACAGAAGCACTGTACTCTCCGAGAGGCTCTCGTTTTAAGCATGCACTGTATGTACCAAGGGGCCTAGGTGTGTTACGCTCGATGTGTGCACCCAGGGGCCTGGTGGCCCTAGTGGTCAACTCACGCTTTAAGCACCAAGGGCCCTCACATTGTAAGCGCCGAGGGGTCAGGGGCGCAGTAATGGTCAGCTCACGTTTTAAACACCAAGGGGTCTGGGGGGCCCTCACACTGTAAGCACCCAGTGGTCTGGGGGGCCCTAGTGGTGAGCTCACGCTATAAGCACCCAGGGGCCATGTGGTCAGCTTGCGCTGTGCGTACTGAGGGCCCCGGCGTTCAACTTCCTTAGGAAGTCTTGGGCCACGCACCGCGCACGGCCTGAGGCTTGGAGGCCCCCTGCCAGCCCGAGGCCCCGGGGCACTGGCCCCACTAGCCCGGTCCATAATTCAGCCTTGCCCCCACACACACCACACTAATCTCTGACATGCACAGCAATTGCATACATTGCACCAACAGTGAATAGAGCACCGTGCGCTTTTTAAGAACAATGGAATTGGTAATTAACAAATTTTCAGCCCTTTGTCAATCCAATCAATCATTATTTTACATGCCAATATCGCCCTCAATAAAGTCGATAGCAGTGCTGCACATGACAACAGAATGGGAATGGTACAAGATGGTTGACCATACTTCACCACACTTTTATGAGCTAAAAATTCATTTACTGCATTTTTTTTGTACACGCAACGAGATTAGTACGAGTGCACTGTCATTAAAATATACATTAATAAAGCATGTCATTCTATCAGATATGATGTGTTTGTGCTAAAACTAATGTAGCTAGTTGAGATGATCCTTCGGTAATGTATGAGAAACATTAGACATGTGAACGAGAAATGTCTCCGAAATTCCGTGCGAAATGATGACACCGCAATTATTCACCTCCAACGTCTTTCTCTTCTTCCACAATAATGTATAACTCCCTAGTTTCGAATGTAGCCCCAGTCTAATCAGTTTATGTATTAACCGTGTGATGATGACAATACCGTACTGTGTTGCCAATTAGGGCAGTGATTCATTACAAGTGTAATACTCTGTAAGCTGTATGATTGGATTTGTTTTCTTGTTTTTCGTTTTAAATGTTTTGCCAAAGTGTTGAGTTCACCTTAATACGCTATGACGAGTTTAAACTGTCGATGCAATTTAACGCTATTGCCTTTCCCGAATAAGATAATTAACTTGATGCTCTTTTGTTTTAAAACACACAACTCTGGGAGGCCTGAATTAGGACAATTGACCAGGGCATTGTCAATTTATTAGGATCAGTGATTGTATAAAAAGGATTAATCTTCTTTGGTTATTTCGGTAAAGTCACGTAGAATGAGAATAAAATAATAAAATAACACAATAAAATTCTCACGACGTTTCGCCCACAACGCAAGCGGCCGTCTTCAGGTGAAAGGAACAGACCTGTCGGGACGACAGAGCTTCAATGAACGATGTTAAGATTCGTAGCGACTTTTAAGCTGGTTGGGAGAAGTGAGGCACCTACCGGGGGGGCGGTTGTCTTTGTCGTCCGCTCTCTCACAGGCGAGGCCCTTCACCTGGCGCGTGACTTTGGCTACACATGCGAGACGGAGTTCCCCGGCAAGGCGGTGGGCGAGCACCTGGCGAAGCAGCACGCGGAGCCCAAGGAGCAGCAGACACGACGCAAGATGATACTCGCCACCAAGTAAGATGATACTCACCACCAAGTAAGATGATACCACCAAGTAAGATGATACTCGCCACCAAGTAAGATGATACCACCAAGTAAGATGATACTCACCACCAAGTAAGATGATACCACCAAGTAAGATGATACTCGCCACCAAGTAAGATGATACTCGCCACCAAGTAAGATGATACTCACTACCAAGTAAGATGATACCACCAAGTAAGACGATACTACCAAGTCAGACGATACTCGCTACCAAGTAAGATGATACCACTAAGTAAGATGATACTCGCTACCAAGTAAGATGATACCACCAAGTAAGTTGATACCACCAAGTAAGATGATACTCGCCACCAAGTAAGATGATACTCGCTACCAAGTAAGATGATACCACCAAGTAAGATGTTACCACCAAGTAAGATGTTACCACCAAGTAAGATGATACCACCAAGTAAGATGATACCACCAAGTAAGGTGATACTCGCCACCAAGTAAGATGATACCACCAAGTAAGATGATACCACCAAGTAAGATGATACTCGCTACCAAGTAAGATGATACTCGCCACCAAGTAAGATGATACCACCAAGTAAGATGATACCACCAAGTAACATGATACTTGCCACTAAGTAAGATGATACTCACCACCAAGTAAGATGATACTCGCCACCAAGTAAGATGATACAAGATTATATGTATTTATCACGCAATATGGTCATTCGCCAAAGTGATTATCATGCAAGATGATAAGTAAAATAATCGTAATCATAAGTAAGATAATCATGATAAGTTAGATAATCATACAGTGAGGGAAAAACGTATTTGATCCCCTGCTGATTTTGTACGTTTGCCCACTGACAAAGAAATGATTAGCCTATAATTTTAATGGTAGGTTTTTTGAACAATGAGAGACAGAATAACAACAAGAAAATCCAGAAAAACGCATGTCAAAAATGTTATAAATTGATTTGCATTTTAATGAGGGAAATAAGTATTTGACTCCTCTGCAAAACATGACTTAGTACTTGGTGGCAAAACCCTTGTTGGCAATCACAGAGGTCAGACGTTTCTTGTAGTTGGCCACCAGGTTTGCACACATCTCAGGAGGGATTTTGTCCCACTCCTCTCTGCAGATCTTCTCCAAGTCATTAAGGTTTCGAGGCTGACATTTGGCAACTCGAACCTTCAGATCTCCACAGATTTTCTATGGGATTAAGGTCTTGAGACTGGCAGGCTACTCCAGAGACCTTAATGTGCTTCTTCTTTAGCCACTCCTTTGTTGCCTTGGCCATGTGTGTTGGGTCATTGTCATGCTGGAATACCCATCCACGACCAATTTTCAATGCCCTGGCTGAGGGAAGGAGGTTCTCACCCAAGATTTGACGGTACGATTTGGCCCCGTCCATCGTCCCTTTGATGTGGTGAAGTTGTCCTGTCCCCTTAGCAGAAAAACACCCCCAAAGCGTAATGTTTCCACCTCCATGTTTGATGGTGGGGATGGTGTTCTTGGGGTCATAGGCAGCATTCCTCCTCCTCCAAACACGGCGAGTTGAGTTGATGCCAAAGAGCTCCATTTTGGTCTCATCTGACCACAACACTTTCACCCAGTTGTCCTCTGAATCATTCAGATGTTAATTGGCAAACTTCAGACGGGCATGTCTATGTGCTTTCTTGAGCAGGGGGACCTTGCTGCAGGATTTCAGTCCTTCACGGCGTAGTGTGTTACCAAATGTTTTCTTAGTGACTATGGTCCCAGCTGCCTTGAGATCATTGACAAGATCCTCCCATGTAGTTCTGGGCTGATTCATCACCGTTCTCATGATCATTGCTACTCCATGAGGTGAGATCTTGCATGGAGCCCCAGGCCGAGGGAGATTGACAGTTCTTTTGTGTTTCTTCCATTCGCGAATAATGGCACCAACTGTTGTCACCTTCTCTCCAAGCTGCTTGGCAATGGTCTTGTAGCCCATTCCAGCCTTGTGTAGGTCTACAATATTTTACCCCTGACATCCTTGGAGAGCTCTTTGGTCTTGGCCATGGTGGAGAGTTTGGAATCTGATTGATTGATTGCTTCTGTGGACAGGTGTCTTTTATACAGGTAACAAGCTGAGATTAGGAGCACTCCCTTTAAGAGTGTGCTCCTAATCTCAGCTCGTTACCTGTATAAAAGACACCTGGGAGCCAGAAATCTTTCTGATTGAGAGGGGGTCAAATACTTATTTCCCTCATTAAAATGCAAATCAATTTTAACATGAATTTTTCTGTATTTTGTTGTTGTTATTCTGTCTCTCACTGTTCAAACAAACCTACCATTACAATTATAGACTGATCATTTCTTTGTCAGTGGGCAAACGTACAAAATCAGCAGGGGATCAAATACTTTTTTCCCTCACTGTAAAAGATTACTTATGATAAGTGAAATTACTGATACAAGATGATACGTAAGCGATGCAAGATGATGAGTAGCAGCGGTCCCAACAACACCACCCTGGATTGGCGTCAGTGTAGCAGTTCACATCCTTGTTGTGGGGATTCACTCGGCCCGCGTCATCTTCTCTGCTGTTGATGAAGTGAGCAGCGCTCTGTGGGAAAGGCGCGTGTCACAATTGAACCACAATACCTGGCTGATCTCGTTGAGGAACCTAAATCACCACATGAACTCTGGCCATCCTTGCAGCAGCGGCTTTTAGCTAGCCATCGAACAAAGATGGCCACTTCTAGATTTAAAGCTTTCGTGACTGCAAGGATCCATACTCTTCCAGACAGGCTCGTCCCTTCACCTGATGAAGGCCGCTTGTGTTGTGGCCGAAACGTCGTGATTATTGTTGTTTTATTATTTACCTACATGACTTTACCGAATAGAAACAAAGAGTAAAGATGGCCACCGCATCACGTGCTTTCAGGCGTGCTTCTGCGGCCATCTGGAAACGCTCTTCCTTCCGACAACATTAACAACAACCACCAGTGTTGTATGTATGTAGAACTTATTTCGCACCGATGTAGCCAACTATTATGATCATCGGAGGTGCGCGGGAAGAACAACCTAAACACAGAAAAAGTGTTCTAAAGAAATTAGTTTTTAACTCGATTTAATGTTGCATAGCTCCAGTGGCTTCCTAATATTGAAGTATGCAGCAATGGCTGTTCTTCGCTTCTCTGAGGAAGGGCAATTGCCCTTGACAGCTGGGGTCTTTCAAGTAGTTGTGATCACACAATGTGTGTACCGTCTTGGTGTGATCACGGTGTTGACTAAAGTGTGGCAGCCAGGTATTTGACAGTCCTATCCGCCCCTCATTAAGGAAATAATTCCCCCGCCCACGTGCTACATATTATGCACACGCCACGATTGCGAAATAAACAAAGCGATTCCTGAATTTGGCCATCACTCTTTAATTGAATCGCGGAGCAGTGAATAGTCACGTGTCCAGTAAGCAAAGAGCTTAATGCCCTATGCAATACGTTCACTTGACCGTGTCCTAGGGTTGGTACCTATTCCGGTTTTCCCAGGATGGTTCCTGGTATGTATGTACTTATGTTGAACTTCCTTCGCACCGTGTGTAGCCAACTGTTTTAATCGGAGGTGTGGGGGAAGGACAACAAACAAAACACAAAAATAAGTTCTGAAATAAATTAGTTTTAAATGTAGATGATTTAAAAGTGCATAGCTGCAGTGGCTTCCTAATATCGAAAGGAAGAGCGTTCCAGACGGCCGTAGAAGCACATTTGAAAGCGCGCACGATGCGGTGACCATCTTTGTTCGATGGCTGGCCAGAAGCCACTGCTGCGAGGCTGACCGGAGCTCGCGCCATGGTTCATGCTCTCTGACGAGATCAGCAAGGTATCGTGGCCTATTTGTGATTTGTGGCAAGAACTTTGTGTGACGAGTGGGACCTTGTAAGGTCGCACTTGTGAGTGTGCCCAGGTGTTGAGGTACCGTGGTGCTCCATACCGCCCTCCCCCCCACCATGCGCTCGACAGACAGATCTGCAAGGAGTTCCAGGACTTCCTGAGCCAGGACCGCTCTCCCCTTGGCAGCTCACGGCCAACACCTGTGCTGGACCCAGAGGTTCAGCGTCACCTCACGCACTTCAGGTACATGCACACGTACAGCCCTCTTGGCCAGTCAGTTCACTGTCGGTTGGGATACTATGGTGGTGAGATGTTAACTACACCGCCTGGTATAAAGATTTTGGGCTCGATCCCGACCCCGACGCCTGCTGTATATTTGGAGTTGGCGTGGTCGTGTAGATTTTTTCCTCAGGATCCTCCTTTTTTTTCCCCTCCATATTTAGAATCAACATATTTTAGAGTCTATTTGCGTGCTATACTTGTCCACGTGATAAGCCACTTCGTTGAGATATCATTTGTGGCCAGGTCTCTTCTGAAAAAGAGCTTTCCAGCTCAGTGGGCCTTACATATGTATGTAGAACTTAATTTTCTTTGGTTCTTTCGGTAAAGTCACGTAGATAGAAAAATAATAATTAAGTGAATAAAAATAATACAAATAAAATAAAAACCATGACGTTTCGATTGCAACACAAGCGGTCGTCATCAGGTAAGGGCAGCCTCGCAGGAAAAGCCCTTTTCCTGATGACGACCGCGATCGAAACGTCATGGTTTTTATTTAATTTGTATTATTTATATTCATGTTATTATTTTGCTATCTCCGTGACTTTACCGAAAGAACCAAATAATATTATTTCCTGCAGTCACGAAAGTATTAAGTAAAAATTTATGGAGAACTTCTTTCGCACCGTACGTAGCCAACCGTGCTAATCAAGAGGTGCGGTAAAATATTTGGTAAAATAAAAATAGTTAAGTTTATCGTTTCGTTTGAGGTTCCTGCCCATGCCATGTGGGTCACGGGGGTGGGGGGGGGGAGGTTGCCCGCCCCATAGCTCAGCACTGGCCAGTACGGGTTGGCGAATTGAAGGAGCGTAGAAGTGAAGTACAATTTTATGGATATTGATGCACTGCGCTCTGCTGGCCACAACACCCCCCACCACCAGCAGCCTGTAGCAGCTGTGACCACCTATGGCCAGATCCCCTGGAATGTGCCCGATGTCATCCATAACTCTGCATCAAAAGTAGGAATGAAACCCCGGACAGTGTCCGGGTGGACAACCACCACGCATAGCAGGTGTTATAGAGAAATAGTTTTTTACCCTTTTAACTGGCACAAAAACTGACACCTTTATTCAAGGCATCATGTTTGCAATAACCACAACACAAGCAGTCAAAATGCAAACAAAAGAGACAACTCTGACAATAATATGCACTGTCCTTGAATTTGATTGGTCCACACCCAAGACGGCTTTTCTTAGAGCCTAGTCTCCACTGGTGTTGGACCAGAAGACGCCAAAAGGCGGGTGTGGACCAATCAAATTCAAGGACAGTGCATATTATTATCAGAGTTGTCTCTTTTGTTTGCATTTTGACTGCTTGTGTTGTGGTTATTGCAAACATGATGCCTTGAATAAAGGTGTCAGTTTTTGTGCCAGTTAAAAGGGTAAAAACCTATTTCTATATCTTGTTACTGGCAAAGGAGGTCTCATAAGGTGTTATAGACTCAAGATTACACATACTTATTTAAGACTTTATCATACTTTTCAATAGATACTACGTGAACGTTTTTTTTTTTCAGCAGGGTCTTGCCACGTATTTCACAGTCGGGGGAGGGGGGGTGGATTTTCAGAATCAGAATCTTTATTTATCTTGGAGGAATCCGATGAGCTATGAAGCTATTTTTCACAGACGTCCAGTCGGGGTGGGTTGGGAAGTTACAACAAGCTATGCAAAATACGATAGGAGTGCAACATAAACAAAAGGTAAGCAATTCACTCAAATAAAGAAACAAAACATATTATTAGTACTTAATTGCATAAGTAGATCAATTCCTGCCAACCCTTCAACACCAAATGCAAGCTTGGGCAAGGCAACAAAACAACAGCAACAGGCCACACCAAGACAGCAACAACAACCGCCATTCGACACTAAGTGGCGGTGACATCACCACGACGCTTGTGCCAGGCCGTGTGCACCTTGAGGCCACGTGAAGTGTCGAACGCCCGCTGGCAGGAGGTCACGGGGCAGACCCAGGTGCCACGGGTCGACTGACTAAGATGACTGAGATGACTGGCTGATGCACCACCTGTGCCTCCTACTGTGCCAACCTGCTGTGCTTTAGCCACCCGGCGCTCCGCTCGTTGTTGCGAGCGTCGCTCCTCCGCCCTCCGTTGTTGTTGGAGGGCGACTGCCACCAACTGCCCAGTAGCGTCCTTCACGAGCCTCCTCCACAGAGGCCGATCTTGACACCGCTGGTACCAGTCATCGGCAAGTCCACTAAGCTCCACGTCCTCCTGTACCACATCACTCCATCTCTTCTCTAGCCCGTGCCGCACCCGTTTAGCCCCCTCGATCCGGCCGAACAAAAGCTGTTTTGGCATGCGGTGGCTGGGCATGCGGGCTATATGACCCAGCCAACGCAGCCTTGCCTGCCGGAAGAGCTCACCGATGGGACCTTGCCCAGATCTTTCCAGGATTTGTGAACTCCTCACACAATCCAGTCTGGTTAAACCCAGGATGGATCGTAGGCAGGCTAGCCTAAATGTTTCTAACCGGCGAAGATGTTCCATTAGGGGGGTTCACGTTTCGCAAGCGTAGAGAAGGGAGGGAATGACCGTGGTCGAGAAGACCTGAAGCTTAGTGCGGAGCGACAGACCAGGTAGCTTCCACACAGCGTTACGCAACCGATGAAAATATATTGCCGCTCGACTGATTAGGAGTGAGACCTCTGCTGTTAAACTGGAGCCGGTCCGGCAAAACAACCCCCTACCTCCTCGCGGTGCCGGACGGGCAACTCTGCCGTGGACAATGCTGTGGGGGGAGGGCCAATTCCGATTGGCTCCTCCCCTCATGGCGTCTGTGACCACCACAGGGGCTAAACAGGGGCTCTGGACGGGTGCGAGGGGCTGGTAACCCCTCCACCTTCAAAAATGTACCACTAAACCACGTCTAAAATATCTAACTAATAAGCTTGTGCCGGAGGCCCCGGGGGGACAGGCGTCTATGACGTCTCCTGGCTAAACCCCAATTGGCGGAGCCAGGAGGTTGAATCTCTACCCTCGGGGCTCCTCCAGAAACAACGAATACGAAAAGCCACTTCGTGTGGCCACGTGGAATGTTCCAACGCTCACACCAAGACAACACACAGTCCCTCAGTAAAGTAGCACACCAAATTGTTACTATCGATACTCAACGGGTGTGTGTTGCTGCTATCTGTAATCCCAAATCGACTGATTTGCAGGTATTGTTTTTCACCATTGGGAGACTTGGCCAATACCGGTTACGATGTTTGGTGTTTTTTTTTCTTGATCTGTATGAAGAGAATACGACAATCGGGGAACGGTTGGACGGGGAGATGTGTGCTTGATCGCCAGTGTGAAGAGTTTGCATTTCGAGTGTTTTTATGAGTGGTGGGGGTTGTGGTGTGTGGGGAGCGGTAGTGTAGCAGTTAGTGGGCTGCGCTACGAACCAGGCTACCCAAGTTCCAGTCCTGCTCACGGCCAAAATCAGTGAGGAATATCTGAACCGGTCCTGGGCCTCCCCTAGGTCGACTGAGCCTCAATTGAGTACCTAGTACGGTGTGTAAAAACATCGCCACTGGGAGACAAAGGCGGCCGGGCGTGGTGCTGGCCACCCAACTCCTTGTGTGCTGTGCCGGCCTTCATAGGTGCTCGCTAATAGCACTTGCCCTGACAGTCTGTTGCAGGCTACACGGCAGGGTGGGGGGGGGGGGGGGGAATGATGTTTGTCTTTGGTGTGGTGTGATGAGGATGGCGAAGACGTTGCTGGGTGGTTAGAAGTTGTTAACGCTCGTGGCGCGGTGATTTTCAGCCTCATTACCCACGGCTTCGGCACGCCCGCCCTCTGTGCAGCCTTGAGCACGTTCCAGACGGTGCTGGGTGAGATGCTGGCTTACCAAGAGAAGCACCTCCAGAGCAAAGCCGCCAGCCTTGCGTCGACGCCAGCTCCCGCCCTCCCTATCGACAAGGGCTCACTTAGGAAGGCGGGAGACGCCAGCGAAAAGGACAATCGTGGTGGCAAGGCCGACTAGCCGCCTGCCCCACGAACGCACACAGTTACGGGGCGGGGGGGTGTTGAGGGGTGGACCCTCTCTGTCGACGATTCATTTAACGAGTGCGCGTCCACGATTAGCTCCGATGATACAAAAAAAAAACCCGTGTTCTGCATCGACCGTCGCTGTGTTGGCATCTTTTTTATTTAAACAACGCGCCAAACCACAGAGGAAAATGCTGATCGGGATGGGTGAAGTAAAAATATATATATCTCAAGATCGGCAAGTGTGTTCCTTGCAGATGCTTTTATGTGGAGTGAAAGGTGGATATAAGGGGGGGGGGGAGGTGCAGCCCTGCAATTGCTTGATCATGTCACTGCTGGCAGAAAGACCTCCTACGAAATGGAACTATAGAGGGTATTTTGTCCTGCTGTTCCACTTTGGCCAGATGTCTTGAAAAAGATTGGAGTAAAACCTGCACATTGCACCACCACACGGTGTAATTTCATGTAACTCGCGTGTCGTTTCATTTTTTATCGAACACAAGTGGGACGGGCGCTCCGCCAACGGGGGAGTAATGCGCGAAGAAGCTCGGAATGGGATGCCCAAGACTCGCGCGACAATTGCCTTTGGAACCACGAACAATGCCTTTCCCACCGTTCAGTCGTGGACATTCCATGGTTGAGTGGGAACACAGTGGGGCAGCAATAGAAAAATGTCATGGCCACAATGCAAACAAAACAAATGGATCACATCGTTTTGTTTACGAAACAAGTTCATTTAGAAGGTGTTTTTTTTGTTTCATGTTCAGGCAAATTGTTGTCCATCAGCAACTCCGCGTGGATTCAAAATTTTCGGGGTCAAGTGATGAAAGGCGTGTTGAAAAATTACTCAGGTTTTTATAAACCCAAGCGATATACAGTTATGGAAAATGCCCCACGTAAAACGTTCAATAGCACCATCGCGAGCAAAAATACATTCGGCAGTTGCATAATATATGAACTAGCAGCAGTGTTTGTGAAGGGCAATCGGTCCATTTTCCAGTGTGTTTGTCCTTAATTTAATCTTGCAAAATTAATTCAACCGTGGATAAGGCACGCAAATTGATGTCCAGGCTTACACTGTTTAGAACAAAACATGGTGAGTTTGTGTGAATGTTTGAACTTTTGCACGGTACGTAGCCAACCATGCTAATTGGAGGTGCGGGCGAAGGACAACAAACAACCTGTTCCGAAATATTTGAGTATCACTTATAATGTACAAGCAAAACGAACAGTGGCTGTTCATGTATTAAAAATATATGAATATAAAATAAATAGATTAATGGAGCACTCTGTCAAATCCACTGCTGGATTAAGGCCTAATGAAACAGTATCGGCCATAAGGGTTATTTGTCGATATCTCACCACGCTGGTGAGTGGGTTAGTGGATGGATGGGTGGGCAGGACCGGTGGAGAAAATTTAATTATTTCGATTATTTAGATTAATTGGCTACGAGAAATTCCTGCATGTGATGTCACTTCCATGAGCTATCCGATGTGGCCAGGTCACCTCTGAAATGGAGCTTAATAGCTCTGTGGGCTTTACCTGTTGAATACAAATATTATTTTGTTTTCTTTTGACTAATGTGTATTCGTGGCTGGGAATCGAACTGAGGTTGCTGGATTGGAAGCGCGGTGTGCCAACCACTGTTCCACCGTTTCCACAACTGGTCCTGTATATGTGTGCATATATTATTGTACATACTCGCTTTGGAAATATGAACCAATGATGTAACAAATACATAGTGTGCGCATATATCCATTACAAAGTGTATGTTGCCTTTACGTACCAACACATCTGATGGTAGATATAAAATGCTTTTAAGGATGTATTATACTTGTACATTGTTAATTTTAATACTGGCTAGCAAACATTTTGTGCATAATGAGCTGTTGTTACAGGGTCAGTCTTAGTCGTTTTCGTTATTTATCAGCTTGTATTTTACTTTTAAATGTTCACCAAAGACTACTTTTAACTCACAAATCACATCTTTCCAGTTGCTTTGTGTCTCTCACTTCGCATTTTTTTTTCTCCTGAAGGATTTCGTTATTTAACGTCAGTTGAATACAATAAAATAAACGGGACAGTTTTAAACAGATGCTTTTAATGTAAGCATACAACGCATGCAGCAACCTTTTGCCTGTAAAAAAAAATTCCTACACTTGCTCGAGTTGTTTTTTCTTCTTCCTGTCAACAAAAGATTTTGATCGGTAATGTTGGTCTCTGGTCATTGCCAACGCCGTTGCACCTGGTACAAGTTGCAGAGGACTGGTACAAGTTGCAGAGGACTGGTACAAGTTGCAGAGGACTGGTACAAGTTGTAGAGACCTGGTACAAGTTGCAGAGACCTGGTACAAGTTGCAGAGGACTGGTACAAGTTGTAGAGACCTGGTACAAGTTGCAGAGGCCTGGTACAAGTTGCAGAGACCTGGTACAAGTTGCAGAGGCCTGGTACAAGTTGCAGAGACCTGGTACAAGTTGCAGAGACCTGGTACAAGTTGCAGAGGCCTGGTACAAGTTGTAGAGACCTGGTACAAGTTGTAGAGACCTGTACAAGTTGTAGAGGCCTGGTACAAGTTGCAGAGACCTGTACAAGTTGTAGAGGCCTGGTACAAGTTGTAGAGGCCTGGTACAAGTTGCAGAGGCCTGTACAAGTTACAGAGACCTGTACAAGTTGTAGAGACCTGTACAAGTTGTAGAGACCTGTACAAGTTGCAGAGGCCTGTACAAGTTACAGAGACCTGGTACAAGTTGCAGAGACCTGTACAAGTTGTAGAGACCTGGTACAAGTTACAGAGACCTGTACAAGTTGTAGAGGCCTGGTACAAGTTGTAGAGACCTGGTACAAGTTGTAGAGACCTGTACAAGTTGCAGAGACCTGTACAAGTTGTAGAGACCTGTACAAGTTGTAGAGGCCTGGTACAAGTTGTAGAGGCCTGGTACAAGTTGCAGAGGCCTGTACAAGTTACAGAGACCTGTACAAGTTGTAGAGACCTGTACAAGTTGTAGAGACCTGTACAAGTTGTAGAGACCTGTACAAGTTGCAGAGACCTGGTACAAGTTGTAGAGGCCTGGTGCAAGTTGTAGAGACCTGTACAAGTTGCAGAGACCTGTACAAGTTGTAGAGACCTGTACAAGTTGTAGAGACCTATACAAGTTACAGAGGCCTGGTACAAGTTGTAGAGACCTGTACAAGTTGCAGAGGCCTGGTACAAGTTGTAGAGACCTGGTACAAGTTGTAGAGGCCTGGTACAAGTTGTAGAGACCTGTACAAGTTGTAGAGACCTGTAAAAGTTGTAGAGACCTGTACAAGTTGTAGAGACCTGGTACAAGTTGTAGAGACCTGTACAAGTTGTAGAGGCCTGGTACAAGTTGTAGAGGTCTGGTACAAGTTGTAGAGGTCTGGTACAAGTTGTAGAGACCTGTACAAGTTGTAGAGACCAGTACAAGTTGTAGAGACATGTACAAGTTGTAGAGACCTGTACAAGTTGCAGAGACCTGTACAAGTTGCAGAGACCTGGTACAAGTTGCAGAGGCCTGGTACAAGTTGTAGAGACCTGTACAAGTTGTAGAGGCCTGGTACAAGTTGCAGAGGCCTGGTACAAGTTGTAGAGACCTGTACAAGTTGCAGAGACCTGGTACAAGTTGTAGAGGCCTGGTGCAAGTTGTAGAGACCTGGTACAAGTTGTAGAGACCTGTACATTTGTAGAGACCTGTACAAGTTGTAGAGACCTGTACAAGTTTGCAGAGTCCTGACCAAAGCTTCTAGAGCACAGGAGGATAATAAATATCTCGCTTGTGCCACGATTGTGACGCGTGACGAATTGTGAAGAGTGGCCTTCCAAGTCAAATGCAAACAGCAAATCATAACAATTTCAGAAACGCAAAGCCTCCTGTCTTAGGCTTCGTCTGAATGCTCATAACTCGCTGGTATTTGGAATCCGGCATGGTTTATTTATACAGTATATATATTATGACACGGATGTGAAACGTATTAATCTGGAATGGCATCAACCGTTTACATGTTTCCCATAATATATATATTTTTGGGGTTAGATCGCGTATAAATATAAATGTGTCGTTAAACCTGCCACCACCCGACACAGCCAATTAGTAAGGTTTGTCACGTAAACAAAACATGCCAATTTGTTACTAGTACAGCACACCGGTGTGTTGGAGAGTATACTGAGTTAAATGGGTGGTGGCAGGTTCAAGTAAACATTGACGCGATATAACCCAAAAACCTCATGTATAATATTGGTCGCGAAAGCCTATGTGTTTACAAGTTACATTTGACATCTTTGCGGCTTCATCATTGTGATCATCATCGACAGCCATAGTCAGTCAACTGCTGGATGAAGGCCTCCCAAGCGGCCACCACTCCTCACGCAGTCCTCATCGATCGTCATTCCTCGGCGATAGATGTGGCATCCACGCGGACAACTTCTTATTTTTCTCCTGTGTCACTTTTTATTGAACAGAACTCGCGTTCGACACCACCACCACCACCACCCTAACTGTACCACCACCACCTCCTCCACCACCATCACCACTACTACCACCACCACCACGTGACTCCGTCGCAACTCTCCCGCTTGCGCTGCTCGCCTGCTTCACTCGCTCCGCTCTCAGCCTCTCCACTGCTAGCCTGTTCTCTCTCCTAGTCTCTCTACTGCTAGCCTGTTCTCACTCTCTCCTAGTCTCTCCACTGCTAGCCTGTTCTCTCTCCTAGCCTCTCTACTGCTTGCCTGCTCTCTTAGCTTCTCTACTGCTAGCCTGCCTGCCACACTTCGCTCTCTCCGCTGCTGGCCTATCACTACACCCTCTGGTAGCTTCCCACCGTACACTCTGCTAGCCTCTCCACTGCTAGCCTATTACTATACACTCTGCTAGCTTCTCTACCGCTGGCTTCTCTACCGCTAGCTTCTTTACTGCTAACCTCTCACTATACACTCAGCTAGCTTCTCTACTGCTAGCCTTCCGCTATATACTCTGCTAGCCTCTCTACTGCTAGTCTTCGCGCATTCACGCTTAGGATTCCGCTAGCCTCTCTACTGCTAGCTTGTCTGCCCTCACTTTTCCAACCGCGCCCTTGCCTCCAGTGGGGGATCAGCCATCACCGCTGGAGAGGACGAGGTGTGGAGAGCGGTGCCCCGGACTTCTCTTGTCTCCCCTCTTCTCTTCACTCCAACCAACTCAACTCCCTGCCTCACCCGTTCAGTATTTATCCTCATTAAACGCCCTAATTAAGCTGGCGTGCTCCCGTCGCCTCCCGCACGTGGCGTCCGCTGCTATCACCTCAATCTGCAGACTCTGAGGCGACTATTCAGCACCTGCATCTGCAGCCAACCAATCACGGCTATGCATCTTAATTGATCCTCTCTGGCGTTGCTTTCTCTCGCAGCACCTGTTCTCCCTGATGTGACCTCACTGTCTGTGGCTCACACATGCATGCACACTGTTTGCAAACCCCACATGCGTTACTCCACTACATCACACCCTCCCCCCGTGATGATAAGTCTAGCCGTCCCGGCTAATATTATATACAACTAAAAAACGCGCGAATCTGTGACACAGGTTATAACAACACAACAGTAACAAGACCAATTTAAGGACAATAAATAAGCGTGTATATACAAGTATGTGCAATGCAGTATGTCTCTTTGAACGCTCCCGCATTCCTCAATGAAAAACAGTCCTCCGTGAGCAGGTTCCCGCCGCCGGTCCGTCACCACGAACCGGGTCCCGCACAGACGGGGGAAGAGACGGCTCAGCGCTCGTCAGAGAGCCACGTCTCTTTCCCAATGAACCGTGAGCCTCTTGTGGGTCCCGGTCGCGCCAAAATGAGCAACCCGGACTCCCATTGCTGGCCGGTTGGCTCCCCTTGCCTTAGTCGGCACGATCCTGTGGGCAAAAGGGAACCAGGCTCCTGCGGCGCGTCCGCCCGGGGTGGCGTGACAGGCCGTTTCGGGATGGGAGATGACGCATCGTGAATCGGCGGCTCAAACTTCTTCAGCCGTGATGGGTGCACATACCACCAGCGTTGCCCGAATTGAATACAACGTACTGGGGTCGACGAACATCAACGACCTCCACCGGCCCTTGCCACAGGCGATGTAGTTTGGGTGACGTGCCCACCGGCACCATGGGGCAATGGAGCGACACCTTGTCACCTCGCTACGGTTCTCGTGGAGGTAGCGTACCCCGCAAGCGCTCGTTGGCCGCCTAACGCCATGCCAAATTTCTTATGGAGACCTCATGAGCCTCCCTCAATCGCTCAAGGGTGACCTGCATGGAAACCGGCACAGCCAACGCCTTAGCCGGTGGGCGCACGCCCAATTTCACCAATGTGGGGGCCTCAGGCTCCCGCCCATACATCAGATAGAAGGGTGAATACCCCGTCAAGGCATGTGGGGCCAATCTGTAGGCGGCCAGAACGCTCGGGATTTGTAGATCTCAGTCGGCTTGCACCGCATTAACTTGTTGACACAACATGGATGTCAAGGTTCGATGTAAATGCTCAACCATCCCCTCTGTGGGTGGTATGGGGAAGTCCGAATATTTTTAGTGCCGAGGGAGTCACACACCTCCTTTAACAGCTTCGAATTTTTTTTTTTTACCCTGGTCAGTGAGCAACTGCTCTGGCGCATCCTTCTCCAGCACATTCCCCTGCAGAAAGGCTTCGGTTATGGACGCCACCGACTGGTCGACAAATGGCCATGCCATCGGCCACCGGGTAAGATACTCAACCCCTACCAGCAAATATTTGTGCCTCCTCTGGGTAACAGGAAATGAACCTAAAATGACCAATGCCACCAATTCTTTCACCCGAGAAATGTTTATGGACTGCAGCGGTACCTTGTATGGTTGCGTGGGTGCCTTCCGACATGCACATTTAGGGCAAGCTTTAATGAACAAGTGCAAATCATTGTCCATACCCAGCCAATAGAAATCTCTATTTAAAGTCAACGCCGTTTTCTTTACTCCCAAATGCATCAATTTATTGTGCACCTTGTGCACAAGTCTGTCTCGTAAGCTCATGGGCACAACAATACAAAATCTTTGAAGCTCGACCTCCCATCGCAAGAGGAGTCTATCCATGTGCTGTTAAAAGGGGCGTTCAACTGATCTCGGCGTCCGGGCAGCCCTGCGCCACAACCTGAACAGGGAGGAATCCGCTACCTGTAGGCGTCCCCACTCACTGAGGTCGAGCCCCAAAATGCGATCGTCCGGCGCGTGCATCTCGCCTGTCGGGCCCGTAACAGCTACGGCGACCGTATCAGGGGCTGTCCGCAATGACGGCCCGCACCGTGACGAGCCCGTCATGCACCTGCATTAGTCGGGTGGTGGCAGGCGCGATAGCGCATCCGCGTTAACGTGGCGGGTCCCTTTTCTATACTGCAAAATTTCCATCCAACGGGCCATTTGGCTGGAGGGTTGGTCTACACGCAGAAAGTACTGAAGCGCAGCATGGTCGGATCGGACAAGGAAATCCCTGCTGTACAAATATGGACAATACAACTGCATAAAGTGGACCATGGCAAGCAGCTCCCTGCGTGTAACACAATACCTCTGCTCAGTAGGGGAAAAAACACGGATGCCGTACGCCACCATTCTCTGCACTTCGTCGATCACCTGGGACAAGACGGCGCCTATGCCCGTATCACTAGCGTGAGTGTCGAGGATGAAAGTCTTAGAGAAATCTGGGTAAAGGAATCCTGCTGCGCTTTGCTCCAATGGAACTTATGTCCTTTAGCTGTTTACGCATGGAGCGGTTTCGCGATCGTTGCGAAATTCTTAACAAACCTGCGGTAAAATTTTGATTTAAAGCTTTCGTGACTGCAGTAATTCATATTCTTAGTTTTTTCGGTAAAGTCACGTTGAAGAGAAACAACAAAATAACAAAATATATATAAAACAATAAAAATTCTCACGACGTTTCGACCATAACTCAAACGGTCATCATCAGGTGTGTCGGTTTGCATAAATTTATTTTGAAAACGGCATATTTATTTATTTATATATATATATATATAAATAACGTTTGCGTCACGCGCAACGATTGGCTGTTTGCCAGGACTAGTCCATCTATTTTTTGAAAAAAGGAGGGGGGAGACGAAATTTGTTTTTATGTATGCTGTCTGAAAGCCACTGTAAGCGTGAACAATCAATCAAGAACTGAAATGATTTATCAAATCTTTCCAATGATTGCTAAGATAGAATCCATCTTCTCGGTTGAAATTGTCTCTGTGTTTGTATATGTGGATAGCCTCAAGAACGAATCTCTCATGGAAGCCAGATGGCTTACAAAGAACCTCCATCTTGGAAAAGTCAATGGCATGTGAGCCTACTGAATTAGAACAATGATCTGCTACGGCCGAGGTGTTGGTCCTACCGTGTTTAAGGTCTGCTTTATGTTCACGAATGCGGTCCGAGATATGGCGTTTGGTTTCTCCAATGTAACTACTACCACAGAGGCAACTTAGTTTGTAGACACCAGGGTATTGTATGTCCGGAATCACATCTTTTACAGACGGAACCAAAAAATAGATGGACTAGTCCTGGCAAACAGCCAATCGTTGCGCGTGACGCAAACGTTATTTTTATATATATAAATAAATAAATATGCCGTTTTCAAAATAAATTTATGCAAACCGACACACCTGATGATGACCGTTTGAGTTATGGTCGAAACGTCGTGAGAATTTTTATTGTTTTATATATATTTTGTTATTTTGTTGTTTCTCTTCAACGTGACTTTACCGAAAAAACTAAGAATATGAATTACTGCAGTCACGAAAGCTTTAAATCAAAATTTAATCGCCTCTACGGGGAGGGTTTTCACATAACTTTAAGATCCTTCAACAAACTCCGGGATAAGAAAGCTCAGCTGATCGAGTCTCTCACCTTCCTGAAGAGATGCCGCGACTCTGGGGTAATACCAATCGCATTTACACTCACCTCTGCTACTGTAACTTCTTCTAATGCGAAACGAATTCTTTTCAAAACTAGCTTAGCTCTTATCTCAGAAAAAATCAGACTTATACGCACAGAACTAGATCAGTTAGACAAGACACTCTACAAATCACACTTATCATTGACGGCAATAATGTCCACATCGGATTGGGAACATGTAGACAA